AATCTTATGCAATCTCTTCATGACACGAACAACAATGTGCATCGTGCTTATCTTTTGGTTGATCGTAAGTCCAAGCCATATCTTGTTGAGATTTTGGCCGGCAAGACGGTTCTGAATGGTATAGGTCCGCGACAAAGGATTACGCGTGTGTTCATCGAGATGTATGACCCGAGGAACCAACTTGCGGAATTTCATGCGCGCGAACTTTAGGGTAGCCACATCATACCTCATGTCCAAGTCGTCGCTTGAAGGCTCCCTTCGTGCGCTCCTCAGTATGTAGTGTTTTGGCTTGTAAGCCTTGATGTGAGCTTCATTAATGGGCAGCAACGAACGTATCCATGGAACAGTGAAAGCGCGAGGAGGTAAAGGCCTGACAGTGATCGCGGTGATGCGGTTGTAAGTCCCACCGCGCAGGCGCTCGACTTGGAAGCTTGATCTTGGGAATTGAGCGGCGCAAAGCTCCATAACTCTTGTTCTGAACAATTCGAACGACTCTTGATCGTGTTCCACAGTAGATGTCTGGGATACGCTGGAGGACTCTTCATCTTCAAAGTCGACATCACGCTCTTCGTGCTGAGCGGTATCGATGAGGTATCGGCGTATGTCTGACGCTTTGAATCTGGAATTTGGCATGGAAGCTGTAGGGGTTTGCGCCTTATGGAACGGTGCGGGCATGTGTGCGAGCAACTATGAGCAGCGAAACACCTTTCCCGGCCTGATAAGTTGAATCTCGTGCGACATTGCGACTTTTCCAAGGTGGTATTTGCAGGTATTTGCAGGGTACGTGCAAACGCTCGTACCAGAAGCTCCATAGGAAGCGGGCCGAAGAGCCCAGACGCTCGATATGAGAGCGAAGGAAGAAGAAGTACATCATACCAAAAGAGAGAGCAGTTCACAAACTCCAGAGAATAGGAAAGCTGTTACAAAACAGAAGATTCTTGAACCCGCCGCCGTTGCCAGATGTCACTAGGATATCGTGATACGCGACGGTGCCGGACGTTGGCTGTGGTAGGCCATTGTCGACGTGTTTGCGCATAGTTCAACGGCCTTGAGTACCGGGATCAAGAACATAGTGAGAAGGAACAGCAATGCGACGCGATGAGTAGACTAAGGCAGCTGGGTGCTGAGACGCGAGAGATGACGGAATGTCTTCCGTCATCGCGTCCTGTCTGATTGGCCGACGGAAGCTCCACCTTCCGTCCACTGCCCCACCCTTCGCATTAGTGTTGCTTGGTCATGCTCGACATAAGCAGCGCATTCTCCGCCAAGCCCCAGGTTAACACGCGCCGGATTGTTAAACCTTTACCAACCAGACAAGCTCACGATGGCACCCACACCAGACCGCTCCGAAGCCTCCCTCGAACATTCTCGTCACCCTAGTCGCGTTTTGCATAAAGCGCCCCCGCCCGACCCATGAAGACGCTTTCCTCCCTCCTCATCGCCATCATCGCAATTGCACTTGCAGTATACAACAACGAGTACATGCTCTCAAGACTCACACAGTCACTGAGACACGTCACATCCCTCGCAAAGACTACCAAGCCCTTCTACAACGCCACCGAAGATATGTCGACCATGTTCCGCGGACTGCCCGTCATCCCCGATGAGAAGTTCACCACCGATGCGCCCCGCAAGATCGCAAAGTCCTTCCTTGCTGTCGAGCAATCTGAAGGCGCAGGAGCGAAAGTGAGGAGGAGTGTTGGCACCCCCAAACTCCGCAACTTCTCTCCCTTCCTCATGCTCGACCACTTTGCCATTCCACCCGGCGCAGGCTTCCCTGACCACCCACACCGAGGTACGTAGATGAGCGCAGACGAGATACTCATGATCCACAGACTGACTTCTCATTCAGGTCAAGAAACCATCACATACCTCCTCTCCGGCGCCGTCGACCACGAAGACTTCGCCGGAAACAAGGGCACCATCGAGCAGGGCGACCTGCAATTCATGACCGCCGGTCGCGGCATCGTCCACGCCGAGATGCCGCGCCAAAACGAGGACGGCGCACCCAACGTCGGAATGCAACTCTGGGTCGACCTGCCCAAAGAACTGAAGTCATGCGAACCCCGCTATCGAGACCTACGAGCGAAGGAGATCCCCGAGACGACCGCGGACAACGGCAAGGTGCACGTCAAAGTCATCAGCGGACAAGCGTACGGCACCGAGAGTCTGAAAGAACTGGCATACACACCCGTCTGGCTGCTCGACTTCACAGTCCAGCCCGGCGGCAAAGTCAAGCAGCCCCTACCCAAGGGCTGGAACGCCTTCGCATACCTCCTCAACGGCACCACTATCTTCTCTTCCGACGGCGTATCGCGACCCATCGAACAATATCACAACGTCGTTTTCGAGAGCAACGGCGACAGCATTGAAGCATCCGTTGAGGAGGGTGCCGACAAGCCATCACGGTTCATTCTCGTCGCTGGTCTGCCGCTCGATCAGCCCATCGTACAATACGGACCCTTTGTCGTCACGTCAAGAGATGAGGTCATGCAGGCTATGATGGACTACCAGAGCCATTCGAATGGGTTTGAGAGGGCGAATAACTGGGAGAGTGAGATTGGAAAGAGTATGGTGCATTGAGCTGCTGAACTCTGGTGACGATTTTCTTTTCGACTTCTTCTTCTCTATATACCAAGTAACGATACCTTTATTCCTTTTCTCACAGCATTTCCCACTACCCTATTTGTCGTCTCATTCGCTTTTATCTACAAACGTTCGTTCTGCTGTCAGTTGCCCGGGAACAACATCACGCTCAGCAAACGTTGTCTCATGATATGTCTCGTGCGCTCTACGATTGTCTCGCAACCGACCCTACAGGACTACAAATATCCAATGAAACTCATCCCTCATGCGTCTTCTTCCCAAAATCCGCCGGAACTCTATCCACACCGACCGTTCTTCTGCGCGATCGACTGCGCTCCAATGGCCGACTCATCCACTACCCAAGCTCCACCAAGCTCGCCACTTTGCTCAATGTGTTCTCAGTCCAGGACGATAATCTGTACTGTATGCAACTGTAGCCTATACTGTTCGGAAGATTGCCGTGAGACCGACCTGCCAATACACCAGCGTCTGTGCAGTTCGTTCAGGGATTTCGGCGTAGCGTCCGCACCTCTTCCGAGGCTCACGCGCGCGATTGTGTTTCCAGAAGATAGAACCAAGCCCCGCTTCGTCTGGGTAGTCCTTGCCAAGTCCGCAAGACCCAACGCTCCGGACAATATGTATGACGTCCTCATATTTCACCCTTCAGGCCCTCCACCTGCCAATGGACCATCAGTACACTTCCCTAGTCTGATCAGGAATGAGGTTCTAGAGCGTGTGCATAACCCTATCCACTTGGCAGGAGTTTGCACCCCGGATGCGACCGCTGAGTTGAGGATTGACGAGGAGTCAGGCTGGACCCAGTGGACGCTTGGCCCAGAGATGATGGCCGTCTATAAGGGGCCGTTGATCTGCTTTGGTCTTGGTTATCACCTCGATATGATGTCGTTTCGACATATCATGCATGCTTTGGGTCAGTAGTTGTATGCTGGCGCCTCCATCGAAGAAACGTCGTAGTTAACTTCACAATCTATCGATCCACAAATGGAATGTGCCCTCGGTGAATCTGTTTCTAATCATTTTAGCCTGAGATCAAACACTAACACACCCATTCGAGCTGTCTTCCACAAAGATACCACCGTAGATTTGTCCTTCTCCACGCAGGGTGATATGCTCTTGATACCCGTCATACACCACAGTCTCAGTCTCCGTAGGCTTCTTCGCAACACCAATCTGCAACTGCCCACCACCAGCATTGCTATTAGGCGTAGCCTCCGTGACCGCCTTCAACGGTTCATCACCCGAAGAGTAATAAACCTTAATCGTACTAATCATCTCGTCAGCGCCCCTTATCCCCACCCAAACCCCATCGCACGAAAAAAGAAAAAAGCCACTTACTCCCCAACATAATCCAACTGCACCCCAAAATTCTGCCACTGCCCCCTCACTATCCTCGTCTCGTACACAAACTCATTCTCCGCATTCTGCACCTTCCACATCTCCCTCTCTTTCTTCGTATCCACACCTGTCCCGCCATCACCGACCAACACAACACCTCCGACGAACATGAATTGGTTACCGCTGTAATCACCCTTCTCATGCCACACATTCATATACTCATGGCTCAGATTAAGCGGCCTGTGTTCATCCTGCCGGATACTCCAATGGAACGTTACAACCCCGTTATCCGATGCATCGGCACCGGCGTCGTTAAGATCGTCTTTGAGAAGGAGGCCGGCGCGGCGGAACCCCGTTTGCAGGTTTTCGCCTGCGCGGAAGAGGGAGCCGGAGTCGATTGTTACTTCGAGTGGTTTGTGTCTGAGGGGGTTGTCGAAGCGCGATGGAGGTGTGGTCTTGGGGAAGAGGAGGATGGATGACCAGGTGCGGTTCTCGCCTTTTACGTAGTCCGGGTTGTAGGGTGTGCCGCCGGTGGCTGTGTCGAAGGATTGGAGGGTTAGGTTCTTGGTGATGCGGCCGTCGAAAATTATGGGGCATTTGATGTTAGTTTTTGGGGCGTGAGGGTGGGGATGGACAGAAGGAAGAGGTGGTGCGGGTGCGGGTGCATGTGAAGGTGGAGGCGGAGGTGAAGGTGGATGCAATGGGTTTGCGAGGGCGAAGCTCAGGAATGGGAGTATGGAGAGGAGATGCATCTTGGGATGATGTTCCTAAGACAATGTCAATGCTCACGATGCACTTCAGTATATTTTATAGGCATCAAGTCAGCGTTGCGCTAGTGAGCCCTATGCATATTGGCTAATTAAGTAGAGCGGCAGAACACTATGGGCGAAGTTCTAGTGCAGCCACATTTACCGGAACACCATTCGCACCAGGCCGACGGACCTGGACGCCGGATTCTTTCGCATCCTGCGACGACAAACATCTTACTTCTCAAATACACTGGTTCTGCTTCTAGATGCGATCTAGAACCTTCATGACGCGATGAACGCATTCACGCACTAGACCACATACGGTGAGGGGACATCACCATAGTTCTTTCGCCCTTCTTCCTCCATCCACTTCGTCCAAAACCGCTCGAAACCCTCTTTGGAAGCTGTTTGAAGTAACACGTCATTGTGCATCTCGAAAGCCTCGTCGAACTTGGAGGCTAGGCTCCACGGCTCCTTGCTGTCTAGAATCTCTCGAACTTGCCCACTACCGATGGAGTAAAGATATGCCATCAGAGCCGCAATGTGAGCGACAAGCAATGGCTGCTTATCTTTCCTCGCGACGTAAACACTACCCAGGCTGGCTGACCATTCAGAAGGGTTGAGTTGTGCGAAGCCGAAGTTCCAGGCATGGTGCAAGCCTTTGTAACCACCGCTACGGTTTCTCCAGGCCAGTGCTGGTGGTATAGTGCGAGCAAAAAGATCGATACCGAGTTTGGAGGCAATCCACATGAGGAGATTGTCGTCTTTTTCGTAGAAGCCGTCGGTGACTTTGCAAGCCTCGAGTGATGGGCGATCACTGACCAGCCGGTCACCGATGCAGTTGATGCGCACACCAGGGATGTAGCCCTTTGTTTTGTGTCCAATTTGGCGGCGTGATTTATCGTACTCCATGTGCATCATGTCGACGATATGTCGGAGACTGGTCATGTCGAGATGTGCGCGATGGCCGACGAAGAGTATATTGCCTTTGCAGCATCCTAGCAGCTCGGGTGCGATGTTTCCCATGCTCTTGTTTCGGACGCCAGTCAAGCATAGTTGATCCGGTAAAGCTGGGCAGGCTGCAAGGCAGCCAAGCATGTGGATAGTATCGTGCGAGCGTTTTAATGCACAGTTGTAGGATGAGTTTCCACAGCTGACGAGTCCCTTGCTCTGATCACCTGGCATTAGATAGTATTGCAGAGCAAAGCCCTCATCGCTGGGCTGGGACGTCATCCTCACCCATACCCATTCGGGCGCGGTCTTTCTGGCGTTGAAGAAGATGGCCTTGAACAGTCCAGGTCCAGGAGGGATGTGATTCTTGTAATTTCGATAAGCCTTGCAGAGCAGCATATGAACGGATTTTTCGTCCTGCAGACATTCTGTCGAGCAATAATAGCTGCATTTGCATGTCGTACACATGCATGTAGCTTTGCGGTGGCACATGCAGCAGAGGCGAACTGGTGGTCTCGAGACTTCATTCATGACGACGTTGTCAGTCAGGTATCGATACGGTGTAAGATTAAAATAAGAAAGAAGGATGAAAGGCTAGGAATGCAGGACAAAGGTTTTAATCTCTTCTGAGAACGGAAGGGAAAGTGCGCGAACATGCGCATAGCACCCACCAAGTGCTTTGACAATGGAAGCTTTCCCATGGAAGCAGCTCGATTTTAGCGAGACATTACAATCAATCTGCAGAGGTGAAAGTATTGAAGCCGTGCCAGGTAATGCAGACAGCCCTGTGCATATGATCATAGCCGGTAGAGATTAGTCATCTTTCTCTTCACTTTTCCGGGTTGGGGTTGTTGCTCGTTAACGCCCCAGAATTTGAGGAAGGTGATCGGTTTCCAGGTCCACTGCGCTTCGTCGTTCAGAGCATTGTCCAGGATCCACGTAATAACGGCGGTGAATGCGACGACTCCGATGGCGCTGACCCAATAGACCCAGAATTCACTTCGGTTCTGAGAAGTTAGTAATTTTTCACTAACGATATGTTCATGGTGATCTTACCGGTGCATAGTTGTCTTGCATACTGAACAAGCTGCTCGTATATGCCAAGGGAATGAACAGCAGGGCGAGAAGATTGAGTCGTTTCACGCGCTTGGCCTCCTCCAAGTTCTGACGATTACCCGCGATCGATGCCAGTCCAGTCATGGCTTGGATCAGATTATCGGCCCTTTCTTTAAGGATCTTGAGACGGAAGTAAACGTATTGGAAGTCCTTCTCGCAGTCTTTCCACGTGTGCGCATGCAACCTGACGGACTTGTTGATCTGCCCATCTAGCGAATAGTCGAGACTGAGTAGTGCATCTTCAAGATCGTCGCGATAGTTGCCGCACCGACGTGAAATAGTCTGCAAGCTCTTCCATTGACCCTGCTCTTCAACCCATGCGGTAGTAAGACGAAGCTCCAATGAAGGCAGCATTGCTTTGATGTAATCGACAAGCTGAAGGTAGTGCGCAGCGACTATCTTCTTGAGGAAGATTGCTGATGTATTGGGCGTAGCCCACTCGTCTTCGGAGAACAGATCAGAGTGTTGCTGGTAGTAGTGAAGGAGGTCGCGCAGCATTGACGTATGCGGATGTTGCGTCTTGCTATGTATTTGATGATGAGGGACGGGCGGAATGAAGTCGACATAGCCTTCCTGAAAGGGCGTGTTTTGAAGTTCGTCGCGTACATTGGAGATTGGACGAAGTGTGTTATCGTCAGGATCGACTTCTTTGGGCGGAGGGCTTAGATGAAGCAGCTGGGGATCACACAATATGACCACTGCGTGAATTAGCTAATGTCATTCAGACCTTCTCTTACCACTTTGGTCTCCGGGACTGGTATCGGGCTCTAAGGCGGCAACATGGTTCAGAGAATGAGCCTAGGATCGAGAGTGTGAAATTGACGTACCATCCCAGCCGCCATCCTCGGTTTGGCGAGACCACCACCCGACTTTGCGACGTAGTATCCCGATCGTACTGTTCTCCTTCTGACGGGATGCTGTCATGCCCACATGCCGTCGCGTTCGCTCGCAGAAGAAATAGCGGTTCTCGAGCGCCTTGTTGAACTGTCGCAGCTCGCAATACTGGAGCTGGAAAGCTTGCCGTGGGTCAAGCAAGCTAGGTTGGGGCAACGCATCGCTCACTGGTGTAAAGTCGTTACTCCAGACACATGTCCTCTCTTGCCGCTGGAAGAATGAAGGTTCCATGAAAAAGTGACCGCCGACGGCTGCGACAAAATCAGGTGCCAGACCCTCCATGATATAGATGCGCCGACGGTTGTGGTTGTGCCCCGCGGATTCAAAGTGCTTAACAAGCTCTTTCTCGCCTCTGAATTCAGTCGTTGTGAAACCAGATGCCCCAGTAGGAGGAGCGTCTAAAAGCGCGACGAGCGCGTTGCCATATTTCAGTGGCTCATCCTTGTTGTTTGGATCGGCCTTCTTCAGGCCAGGATTGGACCCGCTCAAGGCCTCGATATAGTCGCGGTATTTGCCTGCTCGAGATTAACGACACCTGCAAATGGCACTTGGACAAAACATCATCTACCATTAGCACAGAGCCACGATCCAATCGGTGGCTCTTCGCTTTTCAGCATGTTTGGGCTTGGGGTGACCGTCCTCGAAGTTGCAGCAACGGATGTTTTGGTAGCTTTTGGAGCCCCCGCGATAGTCGCCATCTCGACTGCGTTGACGCCGTTGTTGGCCATTAATGCAGATGCGCGTAGCGTGCCCGACCTCAGGGCCCTGGAAATATATTGGCTCTTGAGCAGCTGGCGAGAAACGCGTAGATGCTAAGGGTTCGGAACGCGTCGTCGTGAATAAGACGGGATGAAGGAAGCGAGCCTTCCATTTTCCGAAGGGGCCGCGGCTCTGCATCGAGGCGGAGCTTTTTCTGCATCAATTGGGGGCCAGAATTGCGCCACGTCATCCGTGCATTCACAAAGTTCCGCTTGTGGACGCATGCTCAAGTCTTGTGTCTGTATCGCAGGCACATTGAGGCTGTGAAACGCGGCCGGTGAGTATTGGGAGGCGGGGAAACCCTGAGGCAGCCTGGGTAGTTCGCGTCGCTCGCCGCTGCGCATCTCCAGGCGTCATCGAAGTCTCTTCTTGATACGCATTGCTAAACTCATGAGAATATTTCTGCAGCGACGCTGTGGCTTGTCGCAGTTAATCACGCAGTCGAGGCAGCACCTAGGACTAGACTAGGGTGGAATTGGAGAGGCTGGGGCAGGTCACGTGAGAGATTAGCGCGTCAATCTTGCGCGCTGTTCCCCGAACGCGTTCACTGCGAGTTGCCACGGCGAGAAGTCTACACATTTTGTCACATTATCATCCCCACTCCATCACCGCAGCTTGAGAGCACCGTAGGCATAGACCTACGTATGCATCGATGATTTGCACAGTCACGAGTCGGAGCGCAGGCTTCACCTTATCTTACCCCGCATGCATGCATGTGGCACGACCTGGAGCATGATGTCGACTCTGGCACGTTTGAGGCGACCGCCGTGATCCCACATGTCTCCCACTACTCTCTTGCCGCTTATACTTGGAGAGTCTTTCAGCCTTGCATCACGCAAAAAAATCGTAGTCGTGCCTGACCATCTGGGCACAGTACGACGAGTGCGCAAACATGAGGCTCCTCAACACGTATACCCTGACGCTCACGACGTTCATTGGTGAAACACCTGAGTACGTTATCCTCTCACACCGGTGGGAAGACGAGGAAATTCTCTTCGAGGATGTGATGAAGGTCCCTATCAGCGACATCAGCAACCCAGCCCGAGCCAAACGTGGATTTCCTAAATTGCAGGGGACCTGCGCACGCGCGCTTAAGGACGGATTCGGTTGGATCTGGATAGACAATTGCTGCATCGACAAATCCAGCTCTGCGGAGCTTCAAGAGGCGATCAACTCAATGTTTCGGTGGTACCAAGAGGCTCAGTTTTGTTACGCTTATCTGAGTGACGTTCCCAACGGACAGGCTGGATTGGATGTAGCATTCAAAGAGAGCTTGTGGTTTACCCGCGGTTGGACCTTACAGGAACTACTGGCACCGTGTAGCGTCGAATTTTACGCAGCCGACTGGACGTTCATCGGCTCTAAAGCATCGCGAGCCGAAGAAATCGCAACTATCACTGGGATCGCCCTTGCTGCTCTTCAGAATGTCTGGGCAGTTCAGAAGGACAGATATCTCGCTGCAGAGAAAATGTCATGGGCTGCGCATCGACGGGTCACTAAGTCCGAAGACATGGCTTATTGTCTGCTCGGTCTCTTCGATGCGAATATGCCATTACTTTACGGGGAAGGGGGACGTCGGGCATTTCGCAGGTTACAGCAAGTAGTCTTTGAGAGCGAACCCGACTATACGCTGTTCCTCTTCGCTACTCACGATAATACTGATGCGGATGGCCCTGGTGTGCCAGAGCATGCACCATTGCTCGCGTACTCAGCCAGGCAGTTCTGTAGGAGAACTCCATGTAGGGAGTGTGCGAAAGAGCCAACGTGCCTTCCCGATTACATCGAATATTCTCGGATGGGCAGCGTCGTTGACGCACAGTGGAACGCACTCAACGACCCCTCCCTGAAGTTGGTCAAAAGCGGTGTGCAGTTGAAGGTGCCTCAGACTGGATACAAACCGGGCCTCCAGTATCTTCCATTGATCACCAACCGCTATTCAAGGAAGCCAAGTGGAAAAAAGGACGGATTGGTCGCACTTTTGCCTTTGACCCTGACAGGATACAAATTCCACCTCTTTGGGATCGTTCTCGAGCTGCTTCCGACATCCAATTACGCTCGCCTTAACACAGCCCCTATTATGGTAGATATGAGGAGCCTTAATAGTGATGCCTTTGATCCCAAAGCTCTTATAGTATCCGACGTTTTCCTCTCTCCAGTCGAGCACATGGGTCCCGACCGGGCGCTTGCCTGTTTCGAGTTCCACAGTTCTTCATTCATGGTATCATCTTGGGATAGCAATTACGTTCATGTCCCGAACGAATGGAAACCTGAAAGCATCTTCACAATGGCCAGCACCGCGTCCCACAGCTTTGGTTTGACGATAAGGACGTCCAGTAGCTCCTCAAGAGTCTCTCCCGTAATTATACTGGGCGATTCCATAAAGGATATTCGACTGCTAGGCGTGGAAGTGCAAGGCGATGATGGCTCAACGTCGCGATTGACATCAGAAGGGAGCAGCCTTGCAGATCGCATAACAATCCCTCTGGAATCAGCACAGGCTTGTATCCACGTTACTCTTCGCCGTTTATGCACCACATTAACCGGCCACATCCTTGATCAAGTCGATGTGCGTTTCCGAATAGATATGGAATACGTTGCAGACGATATGCACGGTATCGAACCTGGAAAGA